GATAGCAATTTCGTTGTCTTTTAATTCATCATAGGTATGCTGAAGTTGTTCCATTAAATATTTTACCTATTTGTTTTAATAACACTGTGTTACACAGCAAAATTCTCTCCAAAGTACGATAATATATTTCCTAAATATTTTTTCGCGTTGGACACGATGCCGTTGACAGAATTTGTCTAGTACGTTAGGATTTTAAGTTTTGAATGAAAATAACAAAAAATGGCGTTTTTAATATTTATTTGCGGCAAAACTGATCTTTAAATAAACCCAATGGCATCTGAAAGTATAATTCAAGAACTTTCAAATGAACTTTAGTTTATGATTGGACGACCTTTCTTATCAAGTTATGACTGTTCGAATTTTAGACTTTATAATAAACACATCTTGAACATAAACATATAAACAGAAATAAAAGTTGAGAAACGCTTTAGAATAAATAATTTTGCTCTGTGTAAAACACACACATACATGCACACATACACGTCATGCATAAGTACGTATTTACATTTTTTGTAAATTTTATAAAATGTCTAAAAATTAAATAGCCCTACTTAATGAAAACTTAATGAAAATAGGTCATACGGTCATAAACTAAAGTTTGTTTGAAAGCTCTTATATTATATTTTCAGTTGCCGTTGTGTTTATTTAAAAATCAGTTTCAGTTTGGCCGTAAATAACGATAACTTTTATGTCAATTTACTTAAAATTCTGACGTGTTAAGCAAATTTTGCAAATGGCATTGTGTTTGCAGCGCAAAAAAATCTTTGAGAAGTGTCGCACTTCGAATCTTCGTAACACACTTCGGAGAGAAAAAAATAGTGTTTTTTTTATCAGTGTAAGTTAAGTTCTTATGTTACTTGCGTAACTTAGATTGTTTTTACCAATGTGAAATTAAACAAAGTTATAACAATTGCAGAATTAAATTATGCACATATTTATTCAGATATAACAAATAATCAACTTACTGTGTCACAGTTAATGCAAAACAAGTGATAATTTATAGCTGTGCCAATGACACCAATCACTAAAGATAAGATTCTTATAATGTGGTCTACAGTACATTTTGAAGTAAAAAATGTTGTAAACTGTAATAATTTTTTGATAATGTTAGAAACATGTATGTCATTATCTTTTAACAGAGTATTTTAAATTCCAGTCTTACACATTAATATATTATGTAATAGAATTATGAAAAAGTTGGATTGCTTGGAGTTGAGTAATTAAAACAATTCACGCTATTTATATTTCTTTTAGCAATAATCTATCATTTTACTTTTATATTATGCAAGAATAAATTATTTGAAAATAATATCTTATTTATTAACAATGTGTTAGAAATTATTGATATTGAAAATATGTATACAATAATAACATACGTTAATATATAATAATATTTTTTACATATTTTTTACTGATATAAATACACACACATTAACTAATATAACAATATAAGTATTGAAATGTTTTATAAAATATATTTACAATCATTATAAAATATAAAATTTTTCTATAATATGTAATAACATTATATAATATTGTCAAATGTAAAAGTAAAAAATATCTCAATGACTGGTATAAATAATATAGTAAAGATATACAATCCATTTTCATTAATAGAAACAAATAAATTATTATCTTTTATAAACTATTACCTATTTATTAATGATTCTGTATAATTACAAACTGAATTTATAATAAGTATTTGATAACTATTATTTAATCAAAATTAATCATAAATTTAAAAACAAATTTACTTTAATATAAATAAATTATCCATGCAAGACAAGATTTTACTTTTATAATATTTTATAATATTGTACTTTTATAATATAATCTGCAGCTCTAGAGTTTAACATAAAGTGATTTTAGATTCAATAATTTAATTATCATACCACGTATGTATATTTTTATCAAGAAAATATTATCTTTAATTTAAAAAGAAAATGTCAAATAATTCTACATTGCACATTCTTTATAATAAATACATTAATACGATTAGAATACGATTAGTCGACATACCTGACATATAATAAAAGATTCAACAATACCAAAGCAACAAAATAATTGGATTCGGGAAAGCTTCGATTTTTGATAAGGCCATAGGCCAACTATTCGTAAAATAATCCGGTTAAGACTGAAATATTTATCCACGATACTGACCATCTCTCTGCTAGCACTAAAATGCGTATAACGGTTGAAAGCAACAAAGGTGTGCTTTGCATTGTTGCTTAATCTATCTATATTTTTTCTATACGTTTTCTTTTCTATCAAAAATATTTACATAATTCAAGATGTAATTTTTATAATTTAGTCTAATCGCAACATAAGATGATACAAAATACCTCTGTGAAATTGAAAAATTCAATTTAAGACTATAGCATCAAAGTGCGGTCGCTATTAAATAATCGATTCATCGCCAAACGGTATTCAACAGATGCTTCTTTCTCACAGAATATCATCCACGAGAGAAGTATGAAAGTGAAAGCAAGCGCATTTAACCGTTTTTTTATGCAGTGGCGCATTCTTGTTTGTATCCTCAATGAAGTCGTAAGTTACAAACGTAAGTTTGACATTCTTCAGAATAGAAATGCTCTAAAAATATGATATTTTTACAAAATGATTTTTTTACAATATGATTTTTTACAAAATTATGTCCTGTAAAGCATATAATATATTAATCCTATAAAGCATATAAAAATTATTTATGATACCATATCTTTGTAAAATAAATAGCTTTGCTTCATATTTTTGTTTTTTTTCGGTAGTTTTCTGACTTCTATTATATAAAAATCAAAACATATGTATTTAACAACTTAAGTAAGAAAATGAAGGGATTTAGTAAAAGCAAAAATAATAAAAGTTTTTAAGATTCAGTAAGTAAATAAAAAAATTGAACAAAATTTATAGACGTTGGATTAAAGTTTTTAAAACATTGGAAGTACTGTTAATGAAGAAAGAAGATATAACATTAAATGTATACAACAAAATTATTATATAGCTTACTCATCGCATATTTTGTAAATGTGTAATATTGAATTGTGCGGAACATAATTACAATTAACATATGTATATTTCTTTAGAACAAAAATCATTATAAAACCTCTTATTTTATTATTTTGCTATCTAATTTACATATATTTACTATACAAGACGCAATGTTTCTTACATATAATGTATTATATTGCATTTTCTTCACTAATTATAAGTTTATCACTATGGTCAATTAATACGTTTTACTTTTTCATTATCGCATTGAATACATGACGATAAAATAAGAGATAGATGTATTTGCCAACTGCAACAAATCATATTTATTTTTATTTTATTTTTTTGAGAGAAAAAAGCAGAGTAATAAGAGAAAAGAGAGAAGAAACAAACGTAATATTCTTATGAATTATATCATCATAAACATATGAAAGAAATATTCCGCACCGTAGCAAAACACTCTAAAGATGCTACGAAAAGTCCACCCACATTCAGACCAAAAGATTTGTTGCCTCTTTGCATTAGAAACAGTATTAGCTTTTGTATATGTAATGGAGCTAAATACCAATGAACTTTGTACCTAAATATAACAATAAGTTAATAATATGAAAGAGAAAGTATGTATTTACGAGTGTGTAATGGTATATTATATGTATGTATATATGGTTTTGTGTACTATGTCAATAAATAAAAATATTTTTTATTGCTATTTTTATTATACTAAAATTTATAAAATAATATAATTATAAAATAAGAAAATGTTTCTTACGTTGTATCAAATACGTGATTATAGTGATCTGTAACATTTTGGCCAATAAGGTTGGATAAGAACATGTATAAAAGACAAGTAATTGATGATAAATAAGGCATCGAAAATTCTTCAACATTATATCCCGATGACATAATCTGAAAAACCTAACACGCGAATTTTTGTATTGTAATCAATTTAAATAAATTACCGTGCAACTATTTAAAAAATGCAATTAAGATAAGAACAATCAAAGATATCTAGATTTTTTAAATTAACATATTAAATTATCAAACATTCCAAAATCTCTGAATTTAAAAAATCTATAAAATAGCTTGCTTATAAACAAAAATTCTTTAAAAATGTTAAGTTAAGCAACAAAAATATTCTTACACGAATGCTTTTAAAGTTAAGCAATTGCTATATATTTCATATAATACTTAATTCTACGTTAAAAATTATAAATTTTATGTAAATGATACTACAACATAAAATTTTATTTAAAATATTTATATGAAATATTTAAGAATTATATTTATGTAGTGTATATTTATAGAAAGATAAAAAATTACAGACCTGCAGAACAATTAATTAATATATGTATAAAAATAGAAATCAACATTAATTACGGTGTTCATTCAAGTTAGTTGTAATATCGTCTAATTTTTTCAGAAGGGAGGAATAGGATCTGGTATAAATATAAATGACATTTTAAAACATAATATGAGTCTATTAGATTACAATGAATTTTAGTGCCTAATAATATTTTTGCGTAAATTTATATATATTATACAATTAATAGTACTGCGCACTGATTATACTCGTAATTATTTGTCGGTCTTAAAACGCCCAAACTGAAGAATCATAATATCACGAATTAAATTAACAATTAATTTAATAATTGATAATAAGCATCTTTAAATATCTGTAAAGAATTTATTGCGAAAAATATCATCCCAGTCAAAATTCGAACCTAGACCTTCTTACATTTTGTAACGAAAGGATTTAATCAATTCGTTTACTTTGATATTTTAAAAGTCAGAGGCCAGATTTTGAGTGAAAAAAATTACCGATCAGAACGCTCGTGGCAGAGTGATGTTAAAAGGGTTGTAGACATTGAAATCGAACATTGTGTATGAACGAGCTTCGGCCTTCTGTCGTATTTACAAACGCATTTTTTTCACGTTCATGACACTTTCCCCGTATGTTTCACTCAACTGACGATGAATATTGATGGGCGTTGTCTCACGCAAGGGAGGACAACGAACGATGTTCTAGAAACATTGTCTTTTTATATCTATATATTCGCTCTCAATATCAACTGGTGCTACGAGCGTTTTACGAACCGAATGTTATCATTTTTTTCATTTATTCCTAATAAATGCAATTGTCTTTTAAAACGTAATCCACGTTTCCATTTGCTTCCATTCCCGAAAAAGAGTAGACCTTACAACTTGAATGCATCTCCTAACATTTTATTAGATTAAAAATGACAAACTAGTCTTACTCGGAAAATATTGAGGCTCAAAGTAAGCACCCCGAGTGCTATTAAAAACATGAACGTCACCTCAAATGTAGATATTAAATATTCGGAATACCTACAAATATAAAATTTAATATAAAAATATAATAATTAAGAAATATTATGTGTTAATGCATTACTTTTATAAAATAGATACCAACATTATAGCTTTTCGTTGAATATCTATAGCACAAACTACGCCCTTATAAAGCAAATTCTCTTTCTGCAGAATATTTTGTGATATATAAATTTTCATTGCATTATCGATTCGATAACTGTAGATAAATGTAAATATTATAGTTATGTAATAATTCATGTAATAATATTATGAGATAAGTATTCTCGAAGTTGGATAAAAATTGAAGTAATATATAACAAAATAATTTTAGGATACAGTTATGTATATCATACTTTATTTGGTAAAAACAGTATATAATCAAATATAAATATATGTAATTAGAAATTTTATTTCTTGTTTATTACATTTAATGCGTTATATATATGCATTACCTAGCAATTTTAAACATTCCGCAGGCATATGTAAGGTATGCATTAAGTGATGTTGCTGTTGCTAATAAAATAAATAATCCCAAGTAATAAAATATGTACCCATGCCATAACAGTACATAAAAATATTTTTCTTGATCGATAAAATATTCAGTCATAATGCTTAAACGACGTTGACGAGATCCATTTATAGATAAGATAATGTAACATAATTCTGGCAATAATTGCAAAATCATATGGACAAGTGCGTGGCTAGCTAAAAGCACTAAATAACGTTGTAAATAAGTAATTATATAAATTGTATAAAGTTTTTAATAGGTATAATTCAGAATTTTTAAGGGGGTATTCTAGTGTGAATGTCCGTTTTTAAGGTGATTTGTGAGAATTAATTTTATAAAAATGGTTAAACCTATAGATGTAATGTTTTGTTATTACATTTATACATATTTTGAAGTAACATCTCAAATTTTTTAAATGCTTTTTATTGAGAATTATACACGGCACAAATGAACGTGCAGGTCATGTTTTGAAATTCCTCTTCTATCGAGCATAGTGATTGCGGCCGTCATATCAAATAAACGAATTTTTTTTTATTTTATTTCTTACAAATGTGGTTAACATTTGAACCTCTAGTAAATCATTTGAGAAACAATTGACAAAATGGCGATGCTTAAAAAAAAATAGTTCGATTTTTGATAAAAAATATTTAAATTTCACGGTCCGAAAAAATAGTAATTTTCCAGAGATCAAAAAGTTGGAGGTTCAAACGATAGCTTAATATGTACATTATATGCATGCAAAAGCGCAAGTCGATCGGCCCAGTAGTTTGTAAGAAAAATACACGCCCGATTTGAAAAATGTCAATTCGAGAAAAACGCTTTTAAAGTTTCTCATGCGTTTATAAGGTGGATAATGAATAATTTCAGTAACTTACCCTTAGTTAGTTATACCAGGGCCGTATAAGATACCTTTCTCAGCTATATACAGCATCATTTGGCTACGTAAAGAAATACTACCTGACACGCAAAAAATTCGTCTACTGCATGGAAATCACGGGCGACGTGCCGTATGGACGCGCGCGGGGGCTACGTCTTTAAACCTCTATAACTCGATCAATTTGACGAATTTCATCTTAATATTTTAGAGACACATTTTCAAGACCCTAAACTATAAAAATATGCAAAAAAATCGATTTTTTGACCAATTACACTAGAATACCCCCTTAATTTTACTATATGTTATTTATATTAGTGCTATATAAATTTTTTCAGTTGATATAAATGAATGATAACTTTCCAAATGTAGTTTCTCTTTTATCTTACTGCCTTTTTATTTATTAACTTTGGCGATTTATAAATTATTTTTAAATTTTAGCTAGAGAAAAATCCTTTGTGCATTGTTTTATAGTAAATGCATAAAGATTATAACTATATAAATTAATTATAAAATTGTAAATATTAATTTACTGTTTTATAGTATTATAATTATATGATTTAGAACGTACAAATATAAAGCAAAAATGTTTTTTAAAAATTTAAAATAATAATTTAATTGTTACGAAAGTTTCTCATTACTATAATGCTTAAAGTATTTAATTTAAAATACTAATCTAACTTATAAATTAATCTCTTTCAAAAGATCTTACTAATAAACTTATTTAGTCTTCCTTCCTTTATATTTTAAATATAAGTATAATATTTATAAATAGGATTTTCTTAAATAAATTCACTTACTTGTAAGTGCTGTCGTAAAACGTCTTGCTTTGCTTCCGTATTTTTCTATAATAATGATTTCATTATGGTCTTTCAAATTATTATGAACATATTGAAGATATTCTATTAGATATTTTACCTGTTATTTTAATAAGTTAAACCACTTGTGTACTTCTAATTAATTAGTAAAATTAAAAATATATATATAAGATATTTAATACTTTATCAAATACATTTATCCGTTATTATTATAAATAAATACGTAAACAATAAACTTACTGGTCCAATGTTAACAAGATATGAGATGTATTTTATCGCTATAATAATTAAACCGACTGTAGTAGACAAAACTTTAATGATAACATCTACAGTACATTTTGAAGTTACGAATGATGTAAGCTATAAATAGTAACATTCTAAAGAAAAATTAAAAAAGGAAATACTGTCAAATAATTTTATATGTAGTTTATGAAAAAAATTTCTTTATTATACTTAGTTGCACTTCTAAAATAATATCTTCCATTTTTAATTGCGTATCATTTAATTGTTATTCAAATTTAAAAAATATAAATTGCAAGATGGGATCGGAAAAAAACCCATTAGCATAAATTAATTTAATAAATTCAATATATGTCCGCAATGTATATTGCGAGGCAATTAGAATATTGATACACATACTTGAAATACAATACCACTTGTAAAAACACTAAAAATACAAATATACTGAAGTCGAGCACATTTTGATCTTTTGTAAGGCCACAAACCAACCATCAACAGAAGAGTTCGATTTAGACTGAAATACTTATCCATGGTCATCCTTCAGCCAGCTCTAGAATACTTATGATGGGGACAAAGCACACGAAGCTTCACTTATCCCTACCACATTTGGTTGGTCGATTAAATATTTCTTAGTTCCTTCTATTAATTTTAATGTTTTACAATTTGAGTTAGTTCCCGTAATAATTTAGCCTAACTGTGTGTATAAAACGTGAAATATCGCTATTCGATCTGTATACCTGCAATTTAACACTATAACGTCGAGACATAGTTACCAATTTAGTAATCGATTCAACAGCCGAAAGAAATTTAACAGATGTTTCTTTCTCATAGTATGTATACCATTCTCGAGAAAAATTCAAAGGTAAAAATTGTGCATGCATATTAGTCATGTCTTAGTAGCTCTTGCTCACGTACTTTATATCTATATGTATCATATTCATATGTATGTACATATACGATTTATAACAGTAAGAATTCTTCAAAAATATCTCGTTCACTACATAAATTCTGAAGCACATGTATTCACTTTTAATATAAATAGATATATATACATGTATATTATAATGTATAAATTAAAATAGATAAATATATGTATATATGTAACATATAATTTATACATTTTCTATTTTTTATTTAATAATCATTTTGGTCATTATCACATTTGGTTGGTCGACTAAATTAAATATTATTGATATTTTCTTTTAATACAAATTTTAAAGTTCTGTAACTCCATAATTAGCCTAACTGAAACGGCGTGAAATAACAGTAAAATAAAAATTATTGTAATTCAATACTTTTGTCGGGAAATTGCCGATTAAATAAATAATTGATTCAACATTGAAAGCAATTTAACACATGTTGTTTTTTTAAAGAACGTTGTCTGCATCCTAAGGTGAAACTTAAGCAAACATGTTATTACCATTGTAAACGGTGCCATATGTTTCATTTCAATATGGGTACTCCTATATTACATATAAACTGTTGGAACAAAAATGCTTTTAAAGTATATTACTATTGCACAATAATAAAATTATGTAACGCTATATATACAATATATATATATATATATGTGTGTAAATTCTCTTTGTCTATTTCTCATTTTTCTGTGTATCTTTTGTAACACGTAGTTTTTATTTTTTATGTGAGGTATATTAAATAGAGTCTTTCATTAACTTAATCACCATAATATTAATTGATATATTATATTGTTATGATCGCGTTGAATACATGATAGTAAAATAAGATATGGATGCATTGGTTAGCTGTAAGAAAACATTTCTTTTTTTACTTTATCGTTAATTTTTACGATGCAAATACAACTTTAATAAATTAGAAATACAAAATTTAAAAATGTTTATATGTTGGTACATAAAACAGTATATATAAAATATTTTGTACCGTAGCAAAGCATTCTATGGATGCTATGAACAATCCACCGACACTTAAACCAAAACTCTTATTGCCTCTTAATAATAGAAACAGTATTAATTTTTGTACATATACAGGCGTTATGTACCACCGAACTTTGTATCTGAAAGTAATAGCAATATATAAGAAATAAAAAAGAATCTGAATATTTACATGCAATTATTATGTTATATATACATTTGTATGTATATCTATACATTGCATTGTATTAATATTTACTAAATTATTTTTCGTTTTTGTGTTAATAATTTAATTCGTGTTTGTGCAAATATGTATACAACGTAAAGTAAATATATTACTTACGCAGTGATAAATACATGATTATTATAATCAATAATTTGTTGTCCGACTAAATTAGCTACGAACATGTACAGAAAACACATAAATGCAAATGCAACATTAAACATAAGTTCCTCAGGATTATATGCAAATAATAAAATCTGAAAAATCTAACCAAGAATGTGAAATCAATTTCTGAGAAAGAAGTATAGTATATCGCATAATATATAATATATGCATATAATTTGTGATAGAATTTGTTACAAAATTTTATCAATAGTAATTATCAATAGTTTATTGATAATAGTTTTACTATTCTATTACTATTCTATAGTTTTACTATTCTAATCTATACTATAATAGTAATGGTAAATACTATCAATAGTAGTATAAGTAAATTAATGTAATAAACTACAAATATTTTCAAAAATAAAAAACTATAAAATTTAATTAACATAACTATATAATAACTTTTCAATGTCTTACAATATCTTTGCTATTATAATATTCTTTAATTTAAATTTTAACATAATTATTTTCTAAATAAATATTGAAATTGCACAGTCTTGCTTTCCAACTATTAAAGTTTTCTAAATAAGATTTATGAATGTCTGTCATAAAAAAAGTAATATTTCTTTTTTGTTTTATGTGTTTCTTATTTAATATTTGAAATCTGCATTTGAAAGGTATATGTTTTTAATCAATATTCTTACTATAACTTTTAATATATCGAAGTTGTTAATAAAAAGACAATAATATTATTGATATGAAAAAGTACTCAAATTGTTAAATAGGGATTTATTAATAAAAAAGAAAACTTACTCGAAAAATACTAAAGGCTAAAATTAACACTCCACACGCTATTAAAATCATAAATGATTTTTCAAATCTGGTTATTAGATATGTGGAAAATCTTTAAAAACAAATATATGTATTACTTGTATATTATAGAATATGTAACATAATTAGTACATATGTGTATGTATATACCAACGCCATAGCTTTTCGATGAATATCTACAGCACGAATTATACCTTCATAAGTCAGAATCTCGTTTTGCATGTTAATATTTTTTGATATATAAATTTGTATTGCTGTCTCAATACGGTAACTGTAAATAATTAAATTACTAACAATTATACATATAAATATGAAAAATAATTAACAATTAAAAAAAATAAAAAGCTATATTTATTTTAATGAAATAGTACTAAATATAGACTCTCCCTCCCTCTCCCC